CAAGATCTCCATGATGTCGTAGAGAGAAATGGCGTCGAGAAGAGTATGCTAACTGAGTATTTTGAGGCAAATAAAGTTAACGAAGATGCTCGAGGAATCCTCTACAAGGATTTTCCAGAGGCATTTACTTGGCAAGCTGGCCCAAAAGTATGGCAACGGAGGAAACGGCGAATCACTCAAATTGGGAGAATCGTGACAGCTCATCCTGCAGAGGGGGAGCGGTACTACCTTAGGGTGCTGCTAACCCATGTGACTGGCGCCACCTCCTTTGAACACCTTAGGACAGTGGATGGTGAAGTCTGCTCGTCCTTTCGTGAAGCTGCAGAACAAAGGGGTCTTATCGAGGCAGACAACACATTAGATGAGTGCCTTACTAAGGCTGAGGTGTTCCAAATGCCATCATCGCTACGGAGGCTCTTTGCCACGATATTGGTCTTTTGTGAGCCAAGCGACGTACTTGGTCTATGGAACAAGCACTTGGAGGGAATGTTGGATGACTATCGTCGTTCTCACACGTGCCCACGTACAATTGAGCAGATGGTGCTTTTGGACATTAGAAATATGCTCCAGTCGATGGGAAAAGAAATAACGTCGTTTCCTCTACCCGAAATTGATGAGTCATACGACACTTCAGGCAGCGAGCCTAGAGAGATCTTTGAGGAGTCTACAATCGAGGTGGATCATGGGCACATGGATTTGTCAAGTTCACTCAACCCTGAGCAAAGATGTGCTTATGATGAGATATTATCCGCTATTGAGGGCGGACAAGGAGGTCTCTTCTTCGTAGATGGCCCTGGAGGTACTGGAAAGACTTTTTTATACAAGGCTCTACTTGCTACTATTCGTGGTCAGGGAAAGATAGCCGTTGCAACTGCGACGTCTGGTGTAGCTGCTTCCATCATGCTTGGCGGTAGGACTGCCCACTCAAGATTCAAGATCCCACTGAACATTGATGATGGAGGGGTATGCAATTTCACAAAGCAGAGTGGGACAGCTAAACTTCTCCAGAGAGCTTCCCTAATTATATGGGACGAAGCTTCTATGACAAAACGGCAAGCAGTCGAGGCCCTAGATAGAAGCATGCGCGACATCATGGACCGTCCTGACGTGCCATTTGGGGGGAAGACAGTTGTGTTCGGTGGAGACTTTAGACAGGTACTCCCTGTTGTTCGGAAGGGAACGAGACCTCAGATAACCGATGCAACACTACGTAAGTCCTACCTTTGGGATTGTATGCGCCAACTAAGGTTGGTTACAAATATGAGAGCGCAAAATGACCGATGGTTTGCCGAATTTCTTCTTCGTGTTGGCAATGGCATAGAGGAGGCATGTGATGATGGTTACATACGGCTTCCAGATGAGATATGTGTGCCATGCACCGGGAATGATGACGACCTCAACAATTTAATAGATAATGTGTTTCCGATGCTTGATGCTAATCTAGCCGACCCAAACTATATCACATCTCGGGCCATCTTGTCAACACGAAATGAGTATGTTGATCAAATAAACATGAAGATGATCGATCGTTTTCGAGGGGAGGAAATGTTATACCACAGCTTCGATCGTGCCGAGGATGATCCTCACAACTACTATCCTCCTGAATTCTTAAATTCGTTGACCCCTAATGGATTGCCTCCGCACATACTAAAGCTTAAGATCAATTGCCCCGTTATACTTCTAAGGAATATTGATCCTGCCAACGGACTCTGTAATGGGACGAGGTTGGTGGTTCGAGGATTCCAGAGAAACACTATCGACGCTGAGATAGTGCTTGGTCAACATGCTGGGAAGAGGGTGTTCCTTCCTAGGATACCCCTATGCCCCTCCGACGATGAGATGTTCCCATTTCGTTTTAAGAGAAAGCAATTTCCGGTCAGACTTAGCTTTGCCATGACCATTAACAAGGCGCAAGGCCAGACCATTCCAAATGTTGGCGTGTACCTCCCTGACCCGGTGTTCTCTCATGGTCAGTTGTATGTTGCATTGTCTAGAGCAACAGCAAGAATGAACATTAAGATCCTCGCGGTACAAAGCAAGGACAAGAGCCATCGTTCCATGTCTCGTGGGACGTACACGAGGAACATTGTATATAGAGAGGTTCTCACGTCATAGAGGTACTGATTTCTGAGCTAGCACCACTGTAGTATGTTGGTTTGAACAGCAATCCTCTGAGCTAGCATGCAAGTAGCTAGCTTTTGTCGTACCAGCACTATATTTATGTGCTGATGTTTGTTTTTACCTAATTTCAGATGTAAGATATGTATTAGCACTTAGCTTTCTACGCACTTATGATTTCCTGTAACATAATCACATAATTTGTATTATTCTAGAAATATCAGTTGAATTCATAGCACTATGGAAATGTTTGTGTCATGCGATGGTTTCATTTGTGAAGTGGTTCACAATTTATGTCTAACCGGTTGAGCAGCCCATGATATGGCCAGTGAGAAAAACAACCGGGAACCATCTCGAATTACCCCTCCCCACCTGACCTACTCAAACTAGCATGACCAGTCCACCCGTTCTATTCAAAGCCACCTTGGAAACACCACAAGAGGGATGGTATGACATTGAAGACACGCACCAACCATAGGACGATTCGAAATGAACCCTGCAGATCCAGAATCCCAGAAAATCCAGACTCGCCCCTTCCCAAGCAATGTTAATGGGAACCCAGCTGATGGGATACAGGAACCACTGACAAAATAGTGCCTATAAAAAGAACCTAAGGCAACTTCAAAAAGGGCACACCCCCCTCTTGAACTAAGCCAGTCAAAAAAACCTTAGCCCATGGAAAACCCTAATGGGTATGCCCAACAGTTGAAGTACCTACTCCAGCAAGTAGGGTACTTCCAGGAGCCGGTCTATTGTTTTGAGCGGATCACCCAAGGATCCTTGGAGATCTGGAAGGTGAAAATCTTCCTCCGCTACCAGGGAGATGGAGAAGAAGTGCTCACTTTCCAGATTCGCCATCCCCGGATCACCCTTGCAGCTGCTATTCGGGATGTGTTCCGTGAAGCCCTCCTACGGCTTTGCGGGATAAGCATTCCCTTGGATGTAGCCAACAGCTTTGGCATGCACCCGTACCACGAAGAAGATGACAGCCGGTGCCGCCTCCGCCTGACTGGAGAGCCTGAAGGGAGCAGATGCACCCTTCTCTCCGAGCTAGCCCACACCACCGAGAATGCCTACGAGCAAGCTCTTGAAGAACTTGACGAACTTCGGGATCGATATGCCAATCTGGAATCCCGCTATCGGCGCCTAGCTCAAGAGCACACAACCTTACTTCTCTGCCAGGTGTTCACGATAGCCCGCTACATCGAGAGCGGGAGGATGGGCAGGATCCGTCGGAAGCGTCCGTTGGAAGTTGATCCCCTCTCGCCCCCACCATCTCCATGATAAGGGATGTGCATAGGCCCTGTTTGGCACTACCCAATCCAGTATTAGTAGTTCCCTTCCCCTTTCTAGAGATGTATTACCTGGTACCTTGTTGTAAAAGAAAATTGAATATGGAGTAATGCAATCTCTTGCCCCCATGACTTAGTGGTTCAGAAATGGTTGTCCATAATCACCCTTACGCCGAAGTGCCCTTCTAACATTAAATCATTTATCGAGTAAGAATGGATTATCCCGCCGAATAAAGAGGATGCCAAACCTAAAAGCGCCTAAGAATGTTGAGAAAAAACTAGAAATCCCACATTCACAGGCAACACAAATCAGGCACATGTGTAGAAAGATTAAAGTAGAGATTATGCAAGTTGATACATAAGGGATACATGCCAAGACTTGGCAACCATTTCATAAATTATCTACTCCAGTAGCGCTTTAAGAGTAGAAACAAAAACAATCGGTGCCAACACAATGAAGAGACAAACTGCCTCGCATAAGTAATCAGAGTGGCCATCATCGATCAGATCTCGCCACCATTTCCAGAGCAAGACCAGCGGGCGAACCATCCAAGCTAAGATGGTGAAGATGGTTGCCCCGACAAATCGCATACTGGAGCACACCCAGCGCAAAACAATGGCCACCCCTGCCAGGAAGGTTTCCCCTCGACGGGAACGCTTAGGCACAACTGCTCCAGCGCCCTCGCCAACGGCAGCGCCACCCGTCACTTGCACCGGTGGAATAGCTCGCCGCTGCACCTCGATCTCCGCCACCTTCGGCCCCGACCGCCGGCGAAGTAAGCCCCCGCCAGCCCTCCTCTCCATTTTCCCCTCTCCTCTCTCTTGCCCACGTGCTCGACAAAAGCAGGCCAAAGTAACCACACCCGGACCCCCCTCCTCTCCCCTATAAATACGTGCTCAATGAGACGCGTACCCGAGCGCACGAGGCAATAGTAAGTATGTGTATAAACCAGTGCAATGGCTAAGTAACCGCTCTCAACCTTGTTTATTGCCATGGATAACTGTTATAACCACCGAATGCAACCATTATTGGACCACATTGAACAATATCTAGACCTATCAACTCCAGTATCGACGCCAAATAAACACCTAAGATCTTCCACAGAAACAGAAGCTACACCTGAGTTCAAAAATTTTAAGCGCCAAACAGTGGACCCTCGTGATAGCCAGCAAAGAAGTGCTAAGGACACCAAAACCATCGGCCAGTGCTAAAGTGAGAAGTCATTGCGTACAGTCCCGAAGATTACCCCCACATTGCTGTACAACTCTCTGTACGATATAAGATTAATTAAAATTTAAAATAAAAAATAAAATATATTTCCAAAATTAGAAAAAGAAGAGTTCAAATAAAAATGCAATTAGAAATAAATAAAATTCTGAATTAAAATTAAGTAATAATGGAAGAAGAGTCCATATAGAACCCACTACAACATTAATTAAAATTCAAAATTGCAAATATAATAAATTCCAAATTTAAAATTTAAAATTGAGAGCCTATAATTGAACTGAATTGTATACGTACAAATATAGTGATATCACTCCATTACAAAACTTATATTTATCATCGATTGCCACACCCATTTAATAAAAAGAAACTTAAAATCTCCTCCTTATCCCTTCCCAGAGTCTATCATCCACCGTCCTCTACGACTACAAATCGCGCTAAAAAAAAAAGAAAACGAAAAACAAGGGCCACCGAAAAAAATCGCCAGCCCCAGCGCATCTTCTCCTTATCCCCCGGCCGCCAGCGCCTCAGCGCTTCTTCTCCTCCTCCCCCGGCCAGCGCCGCCGTTCCACTTCCTCCGGCCGGCGCCCCCTTCCTCCTTCCCCGGCCAGCACGCGTTTCCCAGCCGACGCCCCTCCCTCTTCCGTGGGCTTGCAGGATTTGGATGAGGGAGATCTCGGAGGCGATGGCCCGGTCGAGCAAGGGCGACAGCGGGGCCAGCAGCGCGCTCCCCCTACCGAGCCGACGTCGTTCCCTCCGCCCCTCCTCCCGTCCTCCGACCGTCGCTTCCTTTGCTGTCGGCGGCTGCCAGTGGGGCGGAGCAGTGGCGGACAAGGGCGACGTGGAGGCGCAGGGCTCGGAGCGGCGGCGGATTGTGGGGACCACGTCGCAGCGGAGCACTCGTGCACCAATCGAATCCAGAGGCCATGTCGTCGTACTGTGAAGGACCTCACAAGTCACATTGGTAGTACTTGCCTGCAACAGGATCCATGAGCGTACAAGTCCTCTATGGAGTACTACATCACTCTCTGAATCCAAGGTAAGATCAGTCTCATCCATTCCAGTGCACGCTCCATTCAATCCCCCATCTCTAACAATTTACCCCACACCCTCCGTTGATTGGAAATCTAGCAGGTGTCTGATTCGCTGCATTCAATCCCCCTCTCTAACCACACACACTCCTTTGATTGGAAATGTAGCAGGTCTGATTGGAGAAGAGTGGTCTACACAGCATGTCTCTCCCTCTCTTAAGACTTGATAGATGATACTACCAAGGAGTACTGCTGGCTGGTATGACAGGAGCACGGGTTAGGGCAGTAGACCTCTCTCTTCATGGGGAAAGCACAAAATCGACCTATTATTTGGTCACAATCTGGGAGAAGAGGATGGCGGGCTTGGATTCTTGGCGGGTGGAGTTCAAAACTTCAAATATTCAAATATTTTCGGCTACAACTATATATATTATTTGCTTGGCACACTGCATTAGCTGCCTCCTAGGCTCACTGTCATCTTGTTCTATAGCTCATTCGAGGTACAACTCAAAAACCCCTTTTCATGTTCAGATGTAGTGGCTGTAGTAGGTGTAATGCTCCCCCTTTTCATGTTCAGATGTAGTAGTTGTAGTAGGTGTAATGCTGTAGTTTAGGTAATGGCAGTGCTGTAATTTAGATGAGTATAATGCTTTTTAGATTTCGTTCACTTCACCGTTTCAAAAGTTTTAGTTTGCAGGGATTTCTTGAATTTCAGCCTGAATTGCACTTGATTTAATGATCATGAGCCTATTGCAAAACAGTTAAGAGAACTTCATGAACGTACAGTAGTTTACATTATTTAATCAATGGCATTCTGCTTGATCCTATAAGTTTCCAATTCCTTGCTACAAATGGTTAAGTTATATGCCTCTGTATAATCCTTATCGTTTGCTGTAGCAACACATCTTTGTTGGTTTTCAGAACATTTATTTTTTGCCATTTAGGATGGGGTCGTTGAAGCGTAAAAGAGTAGAAGCACTACCTGTTCCAACATTCAGTGACGTACATCCTAGGGGCAGTTGGAGTCTAGGTGTTCGAGTATACCATAAGTACCATGTTGAGAGATTTGCTCCTAGCAGGAAGAGGCTCAACTTGGTTCTATTGGATGAGCAGGTCATGGTCTTGTATATATTTTGAGCTTTGATATGTTACAGTGCAATGATTTCTGTATGGCATTTGACTTTATCTATTATAAATAGGGCACAAAGATGGTAGCTATCATTTATGATGACCAAGTGGATCGTTTAGATCCCCTACTTCGAGAGGGTTCCGCATATTATGTGTCGAGGATGTCCATAGAGCCAGCTAGTATGATTTTGTATCAGTGGCTTGCAGACCATGCTTTTGTGTGTGTTTTCACACGTGATACTACTATTACTGAGATAGCAAACATGCATGAGAAGATATTACCATTACTCCCTCCGCTTATGCCACTTGATCAAGTTTTCGAGTTTACTTACCATAATGACATTTATGTTGGTAAGTAGTTCAACTAACCACCCAAACAAATATTAATTTGTGACAAATAGAAGTTCTATTAACACAATTTTCACATGTGCAGATGTTATTGGAATGGTCATCTTTGTAAGCTCTATAGGCTTTGTGGAAGGCTACAAGAAGAGGATCCCATATAGGAATATTCTTATAATTGATGGCAGGTATGCACATACTTTTTTTTTTTTTTGGGGTACATGTCTTTTTGTTTCTACCTTAATTTCTTATCACTATTTGCATTTGACATGTTTATTTTTATGTAGTTTCAAACCTGTGATGTTAGTTATTAAGGATAAAATGCTTACCGACCATTTAACTAAATGGGCGAGATGCTCTAATGAGCAACCTATCATTGTAGCAACAATGCGTAGAGCAAAGCGTGAAGAAGGTAAGCTGATGTGTCCTTGTTAATTTTATGTTCATCGATCTTATGATCAACAAAATTATGTAATATAATTGTTGTACCTTTTATTTCAGACCATAGCCTGCACACTACATGCTTCAGTAGGGTGCAGTTTGATCCTAATGTTGCAGTTGCACGTGAATTAAGGAAGAGGTAAATAGATTTTTGACCAAAATATTTATTTTATTAACTATTTTCACTTATATAGTTTATTATGAATGGTTTTGCAGCCTCAGTATGGAGCTTACTGGGAAGTCTTCTCCATGATACATGAAGGGAGATGGGAAGTGCATCCGTATCTTTTGGGGATTATTTCTAGCTATATGCTTGCTGGAAGTATAAGATCCCGTTCGGTGGAAGCTATTTATAGCAATGATGCTTGCTAGAAGTAGGTGGTAATCTTGCTAGAAGTAGCATGTTTGCTAGATGATGGTCAATGCTCTGTTGCATTGGTGTTGTAACTGTATTATGGGACCATTTCGTGGTGACACATGTATGCCTCGCTGTAGCGGTTTACATGACATCTAGCTATTATTGTACGTTGCCCATGCTTTTGTGGACTTCAAGTAAGGAATATATTGCCATGCTTTGTTCTCTATTTTGGTATACATGTATTTTACTGTTCATGTTTATACTTTTTGATATTTCAGTAGATTTTCAAACTTTGCTCCTCTTGATACCCCTGGAATCCCTGGAATTATTATGTGTTGTTTTATTATATTTGTATCACAATATTTCACTGTATCTGTTGCTGAATATGTAAAGATCATTAGATCAGATGTAATTGTTGTTTATGCTAAAATAATATTTTCTGTTGCGATGAACTGATTATTTCTTATCATCTCGCTAAGATTTAAAGTTGCCCTAATTTTTTTCCCATTGCAACGCATGGGCATCCAACTAGTCAATAGAAATATTTCTAATTCGTGAGTGCTTAGGAACATAACAATATTTTTATATACTGTTAGTCTTTTACATTGTCAGCTTCTATGGCCTGAAAGGGAGAGATAGAGAGTGTGAGTGAGAGAGAGATTGAGAGAGAGGTAGGGAGAGAGTTACATGTGATCTATCATTTTTTTTTTCAAAATGATCAGTTTGCAAAGTTTGTCAAATGCGTGCAATTGGGTAATGTTTTAGAGTTGAAGCTTGTTACTATGGTTTAGATCTCATTTCCTATGTCACCTTGATGTTTATATGGCACATGGCTATATGAGGTCCACATTTGCTGGAAGACATTCCCTTGCTTCAGATGATACATACAAATACTTCCTAAGTTAGCATTAGAGATATTGGATTGCATGTTCAATGGAAGAGATAAGTATGATCTCTTAGGCAATATAAGATTATTTAGAGACTGTGTCTACCATAAACTCAAAAAAAAATATTCTTTTTATTACTATTCTTTCCATTTTTTCGTCGTCATGCAACCATGTTTTCATATTATAGATGATAAGAGTCGCTGTTGAGCTGTTGTTACCTATAGCAATGATGTTAAGTCTATTTTCTTTCTCTCTTTCATGTCAATAAATATCCGTATTAGCAACACCAATAGACCTTTATTGACAACCATTGTTCATGTCCTTATTCTCTTGGTCCACTATTGTTCCAACATTCAGGGTTTGTGGAATTTTCTGTTCTTTTTGTTTATTCTCTGACCATTTCTGCACTTTTGTCTAAACCCAGTGGCAAACAAAATTACTAGCATGATATGCCCTAGTTCACTGCAAATTTCCTTGTACTTATTTGTGAGGGATGCATCTAGGAAAGAGTTGGATAACTAACAGCGCTTTGTTGAGGGATATATGTTAGATGTTGTACAAATGATTAAATGATTTGGATTGAAATATTGTGAAAATGAATTGAGAATGATAATTTAGCATGTGTACGTTTAGTTTTAGAATGAAATAAATTGTAGATATAATTACTATATGCTTCCATGTTGAGCTTTGTGTGCTTAGTGGGTTGATGTGTCATGCTTGCATGTTAAGCTTGAGGTGTTTAGTGGGCATTAGCTTTATAAAAAGAAGAGATCAGATGTTGCATCTACTTATTTATTGCTTGGGACTAGAGTTCTTAGAGTCCCTGTACATCTATAAGCCTAATAGGAGGTGGAGAGTATATTTGTTTTGTTTTTAATATTCTGATATATTTTTTTAATGAATTTGGTCAAATCTCAAAGAATTTTGACTTAGCACACACCCAAATATGTAATTAAGACTCATAGTTTGCCCTATGACTTATAAGACAATACCAATTTTGAATTTTAAAACTCGATTTTAAAGTTAATTTTGATGCTTTTTTGATGTAGTTTCTTTTTCAGTTTTGGCTTTTAAGGCGCTAAGAACACATAGACAAAAATTTTACTCACAAATCAATTTTTGATCACTAATAAGCCGTCACAACTTCTAATTAGCCGTAAGCAACCGATGGGGCCTCTTGTTTTTATGTCCTATAGTCCCATGCCGTGGAAGCTTGAACTACTTGATTTGTGGATCGGTATGGAACGGGGTATTTTTAAACTCTCAAGATGCTTGTAATCTCCGGTTTATGTTTCCAAAGTGGACTCAATACACCCTTAAAATTTTCAAACGGGCCATTGGATTTACAACTTCACCAAATTTTGGTTGTCTGTAGCCCTTTATTTCCATCCTCGCTGGCCAACCTGAGCTCTCCTGAGGCTCTAATGGTACTTGTATTAAAACTAGCCCCGAAATCAACATCGGTAACTAAACACAGAGAACTCTATAGAAGATTCAAACCGATGACAACACCGAGGCATCATATGTCGTAACGGAATTTAGCCGTATCCTACACAAGTGCATACCGCGATTGCACTACACGAATCTCTCTCGAGTGCTGAAGCACCCGCTGACACGGCGTCGTCTGCTAGGAGTCTGGTAATGTGATATTGATACAAGAAGAAAGATAGGATCGTGCTCATGATAGTCCAAGATCGATATATTTATTTGTTGGTAGAGAATTGGATAGTTACAATGGCATACATAGATTGGATGGCAAGTTTTAATAATATATATATTATTTATTTAATACGGATTCTCGATATGATCTATGGTTATGATAATATGATCTACCTAATCATTGGATGGATCTTTCTGATTAACGTGAGAGCTCGTAGGAAGTACCCAATTAGTATAAGTATATAATATATAGGTTAATAGCTAGATAGATAGAGATTTACATTATAGTTTTATTGTTAGTTATGCTAGTGAACTATTCTTTATAGCGACCATACTGTGCGACTGGTCATTTGGATGTATTTTGCACAACATCAATTAGATTGTACACAACAATATAAAAAATATCCTAGAGGAGGCATTGACTGGCATGACCGCATTGTGCCAGTAGAGGCCTCCCTATTTCTTCTGAAATTTCAACTTAATCCTGCTTGTATAATCCATGGTTTCAACTCGATGCTGACTTTAACTCGTGCCACCAAAAATATGTTAACTGCCCTGCCATGTCTATGTATTACATTGAATTTTCATGAGTAGGTGAGGAGCTGAAAGTTTTGTACTCCTGCCAGATTTTGTACTGACATGTCAGTTTTGGAATTCACAAAGATTTGAATATGATGATAAAATGAACAATTACAGACAATCTTTCTAGCTTGCGAGGTATTGCTAAATCAGCTATACAACTTATGAGAGCTTGATTATATCATGAAGCAAACAGAGGTCTTATTATTATTGTCCATACGAAGATGGATGGAAATACAAGGTACTACATATTACCGCCTCACACGGAAACACATACTTATTTCTTATTCATCTTGACTAAAGTATAAGGTAAATCATAAAGCTTCAACACAGAAACACAGAAGAAAACTCTACTAAGACATGGTCGATGGATTAACCAGGATGCATCCTTCTTCAGTTCGTTGCTTATTTTGTATTCCTAGTATTGTCATGAAATTCATCTTCTGTCTTGTAGATCACTCAGGAAGATCTTTGTCAGGAAAAAGTAAGTCCTCATCCTTATGCTTGCTCTTTTCCAAAGACTCATTCAGCGGAATGTTTTCACCAACAATAGCATCTTGTGAAATAAAGTTTTTCTGCTCCTGATGTAGCTGGGGTATATTGGCCTCATCAAGAGTACGAAAACTATCACCATGTCCAGCAGGAATGGGAATAACATAGTTATCTTCTAGGGAAGGACATGCATGCTGGGAAGAGAAAACTTGTGCTGTTTCGCCTTTCGGGCTATCAATAACAACTTTACTACTAGTAGCACCACCACCATTAGGAACTCCATAAGAGCTGTTGGTCATGCCCACCTTGTTGGTCGGCACCATCACTTCCTTCAGTGGGGATTTTTCTTTACTTGCCTTGTGAATAGATTCTCCTTGCATCATCAAAACATGTGTAGATGTTGTGTGCTGAGTACCCGATTGACCTATAGGAGGACAAACAGGAATATTGGGTGGATGGTTAGCTAAATCTGTGACCTGCACTGCTTGGGGAGGATGGCAGAGTGAGGTCATTTCATCTAGCTTATGGCGCTTCCAAGCAGAAACCCCTATCTCTGGTATGTTGCTTCCTAGCGCCTGGTGGCCATGGACTACATTAGCAAGAAAGTGATAGGATTCTGTGGTGGTGATTGCCTCAGCAATATCTGTGCCAAGTATGATTTCACGATTGTGTGAGTTGGCGCACACCCAAGCACGAAGGATGAGCTCCTGGACGAAAAGTTCACAAAGTTTTGTTACAAAAGCTGGGGTATCAGCAGATAACATCATACCACCCTCCTTTGCATGGATGATATTCTTGACACGGGAAATCGGCAGTATAAGCTCTTCGTTGCCTGCGGATTCTTCGATCTGTTCCTGGCTCATCCTCCAGAACTTCTCCATGGCATGTCGTTGTTGTGCAAGCAATTGCAACCTTGAAAATGTATCATCCTCTTGATTGTCCTCCACCCCGTCCTTTTCCGGGATCGGCATGCCTTCACACCTATATTTTGAAGTATGGCAAGAACAGAACATTGTTAAGTACTTCATCGAATCAACATGTTATTACACGCCACAAAAATATCTAAATTGAATAGAAACTAGATTTTCTCATCTTGCAAACTTAGATAATAGCAATATGTACACTAAAATAGAATAACTAATAATGCATCTACTTAGGAATTAGAATAACTTTATCATACTAATAGAGATGAGTGACCTTTCTTAAATTGAGATGCTGAAATAGGGGAGCAACTATAGGATGATTGATGAGAGAATGGGAACCAGGAAAACCGGTTTATATAGAACTACAAGGTAGTGAAGATATTGTGGGTGCCAACTAGATGCACTTTAATTGATGAAAAAAAGTATAAAGGTTAGTTGTCTCTAATTGTTTCCTTGCGGGTTTGTCGCATGTGTTTTGTTAGCCTTCTTTGCATCTTTCCTCTTATACCACTGCATATCTAGACACTTGTACATTGATCTAATGGCGGAATACTAATTTTTTGCATCAACCCGCCCCTGGTGATCTAACCCTCCGTGCCATGCTTTGATGACTCTTCCAGCTCATCCTTACCAATGGATGGATACATCCTAACAGATGGATTTTGCCTGCATGCCAGAAAGAGCCTTCTGGAAGGCTCGGGAAACGGATAGTCCGCTGTAAGTTAAGCATAGTAGGGGATTATCTATGTCGTGTTGTGTAACAACATAGTTAATAAAGTAGTGTGCTATAATTCAAATGTTTGTGTCATATGATAAACCTTGTTATAAGACAAAAGAAATATAAAACTATTGCATTTTCCCCTTTCCTACTTTAATTTGTCTTTGTTATATGTTATATTTGTTTCCAGTAAGGACTATTTGGATAAGCCAAAATGCTGATAATCTTGCTGTGTAATTGTGGCGCAAGAGTTTTATTTGTAATCCTCTATTACTATACAATCGCAGCCTACTAATTAGCATTAAATATTTTCTATCTTGCACCACAGTCTTCCACGTAAGCATCAAATAAAAAATGTCGGATTCACTTCTACCTCAAAAACACGCTTTCAATTTTTTAACAGCTTTCTCAGTACTGGCCCAATTCTAAGACCTTGCCAACAGCCCAGCTAAACTCCTGCAAAAAGCCCAACTCACCCACACCCACATCATCGTTAAAAACAAAAAAACACCAGAGAGAGATGCACTATTCCTCTGTTTGTCGCAATGCATACCAGGAATGTATAACCATATATGTATAGATCATATTGTATCATTGTATTCCTTGTATTCTCCTCCATTTGAGGATCTTGTACCTTAGCTATACTATAACAATACATGGTCATCCCACAACATTGGGTGTGTGGTGTTCCTCTAATTCCTTCTACATTGTATCAGATTCCAGGATATTTCCCTCTCTTTCTGCACCTTCCTGGTTGCCGCGCCTACACTGTCGCCTCCGTAGCCTCCGTTGGTAGAATGCCGACATTCCAGCACTCCTCCGTAAAATTCTCGAAGGAACTCCGATATTTCAGGGCACTCCTTCCTGAACTTCCCCTCACTCTCTACTAAGTTAACAAATTAAATATGAAACTGTCACGTCCTGATAAATTCATCCCGAATTAAAAATCATTCCCTAAAAGGAATAATAGAATTAATTAAAATTCGAAAAGAAATTGACAAACACTAAAATACGTACCAGAAAAATTCGAATGTGGCCCGGAGAATTTTTGTTAAATTCTCCTTGGTCTAAAAGGAGCCCTCAAATTTTACTTGAATTTTCAGAGCACCGGAAATAATTATTAAGCAACAAAAACAATTATCAAAGTTTATTAAAAAGAAAACCTAAAAATAAATCCTCTTCCTCCTTTGGGCCAAGCCCAGCCCAAAGTCCTCTCTTCCCCCCCCCCTCTCTTTCTCCCCCTCCTCCCTTTGGGCCCCAAAGCCTCCCTCCATTCCTCTCAGCCCGGCCGAAAGTCTGTTTATCTCCCCCGTGCTACAGTGCTCCTTCTTCCAGCTCAGGCAGAGCCCGAGCTCTCCAGCCGTGCCGTGCACAGTGCCACCGCCTCCTCCTTCCAAATCTCGCCTCCCCGTTGCTCCTTTTTCCAAATTAGTTGCGGGAATGGAATCCTCTCAATCTCCTCTTCCTTTCCCCCAACTTTCCCCCTTTAATCCCGCCCCCAATCACCGGGATTTAATCCCTCTTCTTTGACCACCATTGATGCCGCCGGCCACCTCCTCCGGCGCCATTTTCGGCCTCTCCCGTGACCGGCACTCCGTCCTTGCCCTATAAAACGAAGCCCTCCTCCTTCCTTTGGTCCATTTTGCTCTCTCCCGAGCCCCTAGCCACCTCCCCATCACCTTCCCCTCTCTCCTGTGCCGACGGCCATCTCCGGCCGCCCCTGCCGCGGCGCCTGTGTGCCGGCCGGCCGTGCCGTCGCCATCCGCGACGTCGCAGCTGCCTCCTCTTCCTCGGCTTCGCCTCCGTTTCGCGGGGAAATCACCGGAGACGCGTCTTCGCCGGCAAAACAGTGGCGTTGCCGCCACTGTACCGCCATCAGTCGCCCCGGTCGCCGCGTCAGAGCGTCGGCCGATGTCGCCGTCTCCTTCGTCGACGTCGCGGCGTCGCCCTCCACCCCGGCCTGCCCTCGGTTTCGCCGGAACGCCGTCGCCCGCGCCGCCTCTCCCTCGGTCTTGTCGGCACCCACTCCGGCAGCCCCTTCCGCCATGCCAGTGCGCCGGCCGACGTCGCCGTCTCCACCTCTGGCATCGCAGCGGCAAGGTCGTCCTCGGCATCGCTTCCCCTCCATCCAAACCCCTCCGCGGTCCATCATCGTCGCCTCTGTTCGTTCTCGTCGTCGACGTCCCGTCGGTCGCCCGGCTCGTCGTCTCGCGGCGTCGCCTCCGTCGTCGGATTCGCAGCGGCGCGTTCCACGTCGTCCCCGTCTCCGTGCAGCTGCTGCCGGCTGCCCTCGTCGCTTCCTCGCCGGCCCCGGTCGTCGTCGTCTTCGTCCTCGGCTCCGCGTCGTCAAGCGTTGCACCGGCCGCGTCTCGCCTTCGTCCAAGGATCGCCGCTGAAGTCGTCCCCTCGCCGTTTGTCTCCGTCGTTCCCGGCCGCCTCCGCCGCGCCCGTTCGTCGTTGTCGTTCCCACGCCTCGTCGCATGGTGGTAAGGATCTCTCCTCTCGCTGCCCCGTCCTCGTCCTTTCGGTGTCGCCCGTGCCCGTTGTGCGGTTGTCAGCCCCGGTATCCGTGTATCGGTATCGGTAGTCGTTCGCTTGTCCGTGTAGTGTCCGTGTTAGTGTGCCCACTTGGTAGCCGCGTTGTTTCCTCGTGTGCAACCCGTGTGGTGTCTAGTGGAGTCCGTTTGTCGGCCACTCGCCTCGGTTGACACACGGGGTCCGCTTCCATCGACCCGTGGACCGTCTCTGTGTACCTGGTCTACCGCGGTCCTTTAGGTTGACATGTGGGGTTCGCATGTCAACAGCGCAGCCTTCCTGTCTTTTCCAGGCTAGCGCTTACACATGTTTTATAGTCGCAAAGCCTAATTATAATAATCCGCAAATCTCCATATAACAGCATTAAACTTCGGATGATCATATCTTGGTCATACGAGCTCCGAATCGACCCGTTCAAGTCTCTTAATGTTTGTTATAACCTAAAGAACTGTGTGCTTTCTTTTTATGTGTTGTTATTGCTTCTTTATAGGCTTGTAGCTTTGCTTGTGTGCTTCGCGTAGCTTCTGTCGTTCCGGAGGTTCCCGAAGCGTGGTTCGTGGTCGTCGCCGAAGGTTCGGAAGGCCGTTCTCTCTGAGCAAGGCAAGTCACATCATCCTTGAGCATATTGAATCCCAGTTTATAAAATTATTTTGATTTAAATTAATGCATTATCGCTTTATTTAAATTCCTGCGTTATCACTGTTTTATTTAGCCATGCCTATTTACCTTTGTTATGACCTTATTATTATTGCTATTGTTATTATTACCTTGTTCACCCTAGAATAAACAAAACCCCAACTAGTGGACACTCTATTCATGGTTCCACTAGTATGAATTTAGGTAGATGCTTCGCTGTTTAATTAGGCAACATTAGGTGGTTTTATAACTTTAGACTTGGGGAATTCTCATATCACTTGGATACTATGGAATGGTTGGCTTATTGTGGAATTGGACATACCCCTCTCTTCCTCTTTCAAAGCCCCTAAAACCTGTTTTTCGGTGGGGTTTGGGTGCATGCTAGTTGTGGGAAGTAGCACCCCGGCCACTATAAGGATTAAGCTCGGGCCACTGTTGCAAAGCACTACCGTACTTCCACATGTCTAGTGGGTAAGGTTTAGTTTGTGGCTCAGTCTGGTTATAAACAAAAGTACACGGATGGAGATGGACGAAGTCGGGGGTCGATGGACATCTCTAGGACAAATGAAGGCTACACGAGCTGCGGCCCGGTAGTCGAGATGTCATGGCACAGGGCCGGTGTCCTGCTGCTAGGGGGCTCAATCCTGCCTGCCTGTCCCGGGGGTTCCGGCCGTAGGTGGGGTTGGGTCGGTACTCTTGTCTATGGCTAGGATGGGTTGGAAACTATGTCACGTCTTCCGTCCGTATACCGTGGTGGTATGTGGCACGTGGTTACACGTGAGGAAGATGTGTCTTGTGGGTAAAGATGTACACCTCTGATCAGAGTATAATCTATTCGAATAGCCGCGCCCTCGGTTATGGGCAAGCCGAGCAATGTACCCAAGTTAGTGTTTTAATTCTTAAAATTTGCTCAACAACTAAAATGTGGAATGGTTGGCCTGGGATGGCTAGGGACGAGCTGGGACCCAGGGTCGGGTTGCCAGTTCGGTCTAAATCATCGTAGGCCTTGGGTTAAGGCAGGTTCGTGCGGGTTCACGACCTTGATTAATAATACTGTGTAGCTTTAGGATCGTCTTTTTAAAATGGCTTTGGGCAACTAAGTGACTTTTAAATGCTGTTTTCTGCAAAACTTAACCCCTATATCATTACCCCTTGTACCCCCTTGCATTAATCGTGCATCCGCCGGTGTGGCTTGCTGAGTACTGTGGTTGTACTCATTCTTGCTCTATCTTTCTCCCCCCTTCAGTAAGAGAAGCTTTGGAGAAGAAGTCTTAGGTGGAGTCTTGGCTTATACCCCAGTTGAGCGCCTGTGAAGATGGAGCCGTAGGCCCGCTAGTCCGCTGCTGTTTATTTTTTATTGTCAGGCCTTAAGTGCCTTTGTAATAATGTAAATATTATCGATATAATAAAGATGTGTCTTTTATATCATGTTTGTATGGTGTACCCCGGCTTTTCCTGGGACGGGGATTAATACACT